TCATTCTCGATGAAAGTTGATAGCAATATACATAAAAATATGTCGCTTAGTCAATGTTGACATCGACTCACAACAAGTGATGGTTCTGAGAACTGCCTAGCATATCGTTATCACTTACAATTAAACCCTATCGTTCGATTTCGATACTCAGAAACTCATTCGAATAAGAAATCAATTTATCATTAGAGATAAAACAAAAACATTGGTCGATCATATAAATGAAGACTACCAGTGAGTGTTTTAGCGATTGAAATGAATTAGGTCATGATAGAAAAATGAAAGGTTTAAACTTTGAAAATAAGATGCTCACAAAATATGCAAACATATCCATAGATAATTTTCTTCACCAATTGTTTCAAATACATTTGAAACTTGAGTTTCTCATTGCCTTATCGTTATCTATCTGTATATTTCTTAATGACATCTGAGGCAGTTGGAGATGTTTTAATATGGTAGAACATTGAAACTACATAAAGACATCCGATAAAACAAATGAAAAGAAAACCTTAAGGAGTCGATACAAAAATGGTGAAAACTGGTTGACTAGCCATCAAAAATGAGTGTAAACAGACAAGATGTGTTTAAAGTTGATTCCTGTTAAAAAATGATTAATATGTTTTTGGTGACTCATCAAATCTTTTCTGGCATATACATATTGAAATGTGTAAACACCTTTTCCATCTTTATCTTGTCTGTCCGCATAAACACGTTGAATGTGATGGTGTTATTAGTATATCATTGCAAGAGAGAATCTACACCATCTTTTAGGTTATAAAAAAGTTCCGTGTTCGAAAGCAAGTTACGATTCTCGTACTGCATTCATTTGTGATTAGAACTAAAATATTTGTTTCCAATGTCATTTTCACATAGACAACGTTCTATAGGTATCAGGTACTACAATAAAGCTCTTTGGATAGTTGAAGACTCAAAAAAAAATTCATCTCGACATGTTAACTTGTTCATCTCAAAATTTATTGTTAGAAAACAGATATTCAGAATCAGAAAGGAGTGTTCATTCCATTACATGTCTAACCTAAAAGCATAGGTAAAGCATATGAAACTTTTGTTTGAAAATTATAATGCTAGAATTTCATCTTATTGACAAAGTTCACTGGAAAATTATGATTTGGTTGAACATGGAGTTCGATAATCAACAAAATTTCATTATGTTCATGACTTCTAAATCAAAAATATAATTGTGGTATTTAATTCATCAAAATGTTCATTTCTTCATTGTCATGTAATTTCTGTTAATTTTTTGCACTGATGAGATGATTAATTTGCATTTACTCTCTATGAGACATTACCATAAGCATAGTCATCTGTTCAACAAGCGCAAACTATACTTACATGAAATCGTATGAAATTTGATCATTATCGCAAACATAGTCACATATCATATTGTATCTCATAAACATAATTTTATTGAATTGGCCTATTGATAATTGGAATGAAAATGAATTGAAATGGTTGAACATGGTAAAAAGAAAAAGACCTATTCCATTCATTTCATTTCTGATTTCAATGAAGTTAAACAAATTTTTTTTGACTTGTGTGTTTTATATGAAGTTCTATATTCCGATTACACTTTATACATTCTATACTATTCATATAGGTCAGGTGACAGACAAAGTAGTTCAATCACAAACTTTAGAGGAAGATTATATAACTAGCGAATAAGTATCCATATCTACTCAAAATAAGAATTGTATTTTGACTTTTACGAAAACAATCATATGTCAATAGATATTTTTTATAAATCTATGACTGTCTTTAATGAGAAGAGTTTAGACTCAGTGTTGCCTCTAATTAGAATCATTGGACGTCGAGTTTGAAATACATCTATATCATTGGTTTTGGGGAACTTACATGTTCTTAAAGAAAATAGTGAGTGTAAGTTTTAAGTCGAATTTTTGCGGCTCCCCTTCCCTCCCTCCACCGTCATCTCCATTACAGACAACTCCTCATTACGGATCTTAGCAATCGAGGATAACAGGCGTCAGACTTTCTATAGTTTTTTTGCAAAGTTGATGAAGTTATAATTTTGAAAGATAATCAACATCATTGTTTCTAAGTTACTTAGCATATATATATATATATATGATAGTGCATAAGATCTGCTATAGATATAATGGATATGTAAAACAAATGTATTTGCCAATTAACTCAATGATTATAATAATAAGAATGTTAAATTAAAAAAAAAACAAATTTAAAAAATGAATAATAAGAAGCGAATAGTAGCAAAGCAAAATAAAAAATAGGGTGCCCGTAGAAAAAGAAAATTTCTGTTCGAAATGCAGACATTAGAAACACTCTTACTCTGATGTTCGATTATCCTACAAAATAACTATAGTCTACAAAAGATTTTTCACTTTACATATTTTATATTAGTTTAATGAGGCTAGAGAATATATGTGAGTTTCACATTTCAGCCTCAAAGGGACTGCGCTGACAAGCTTCCTATATTATCAATATCAGTATAGAAAACTAAGAATAAAAATATATGTATAAGCATATAAGTTCAAATAAATCAAATATTATATCATTTTCTATACTATATATATAGAAAAATAAGGAATACAAAAATATATGTTCCAGCGTATAGTAGAGGATAATAGAGAAAAATTTAATTTTTCATCTTGTGATAGTTTTAGAAAAATTTGGACATCAATATTTTTTCTGTCGAAATATTTTGTGAAAAAAACGTTCTCTATTATGTGAAAATTTCCGAGATACAACTGTACCTTGACTAATCTATTATACAAAGCATTTGTGAAGTCAAAAATGATTTTACGATTACAATAATAGAAAACATCGACTTTCATAACACAACATTGTGTATTTTGTACATTTCTCCATAATAGAAACTATTGAATCAACAATTCTCAAATAAGTAAAAGAACATGATAGATCACACAGAATCAAATAAGAGCAGACAAGACTTGGATTATGTAATGCTATAACTTTCTTTGGTTTATGAATCCTATTTAATCAGATAAAATCAGATCAGAGTCCTTTACTCTGTTCTTATATATTTCTTAATCTCAGAATCTAATAAGATGTCCAATGACATCTTTTATTCTGAATCTGACAAAAGCTTTAAAAAAATGCATCTATTTTCACTGTCTCTTTTTGATCTCTTCTAGTACATATCTCTTTTTTCTTTCCTGTCTACTTTATATCTCATGCATATACCTTCTCTCTTGCATTCTTTTTGTGCATGGCATCGCATCTACTCTATTTTCAATATTCTTGTTCAGAATCTTCGAGAAAATTATTATTGTCCCGAGATTTCTATTATATATATCCGCCCTTGTGCCTATGATATTCATTATGTTCAGAAGAATTCAGTGAAAACCCTCCCAGGATCGGTTTGTGATGAGCACTTTGTTCAGGGAATTTTTTGTATTTACTGTTCTAAATAAAGGAAAACTATAATTCTAATAATTACTTTAACAAAACTGAAGAGGAAAACAATCTAATTTGGGCAAGAATACCAGTCCAGCAATCAAAATCATAGAAATATGAATACATGTTATCATGTTATCTCCAAAAATTAGTTTGGACATCCGAGAGTTAAATACACATAAGTTTTTGAACATAATTAAATCTACGATTGATATAAATTAGTAGCATATTAATTTATTGCTTTATAACCTTTCTCATAAAATTCAAAGATAGGCACCTCCATTCTGTCCTGTTCCTACTCCATTTTCACTCTGATGAGAAAAAACATCAACTTTGGAGTTGGAATTGCCCATCTCTCGTATCAACCATTTCAAAATACTTACTCTTCAGATCCTCCTGAACATATCCATAACATGCTAGCTCACAGAAGACTTCTCAGAACAAGCATGACCTAATGGTTATAGCATGATCCTCATAGAAGATACTAATTCTTTTTAGATTTTCAGATTTTGACAGAGTATCTTATTTAGTCATCAAGATTTTCTTCGAGGACTCTAATACAATGGTTTGAAGATGGTGTTCATCAAAAGTTAAAAATAGCATTTTAGAACACTTTCTTTTCAAAGCCCATAAAATCCATAGATCCCAATATTTGTCACTGGAGAGCTCCGTTCGGATTGACATCCATCTTTTCAACATTTGCAAAAGTAGAAGCCCTCTCAGATTACATAGATTCGCGTGGAATCCTCTCAAATTTGTTCAGTTTCGCCTGTATCCAAACCTTCTCATGATCCTACTCAGAGTACATCACAGTTGTTCTTCGAACAGCGTCACATAAACTTATCAAAAGCCTTATAAAATTTCACCGGCATTCTTTATGCAAATACTTAGGAGATTCTTCGGCAGATCTACATTCATCATACAGAAAATCATGTATCCTCAAGATTTCCTAAAAAAACAAAGGGATTAGGATTGATATTTTGTTGTTCAACGATTCGATATTCTTCTCACAAGATACAGATAGATTCTTCTCTGATGTTCATATAAATGATCATTCTGCCAAAAAGATTCTGAATTCTTGCAATTCTCAAAAACAAATCCTCAGATCCTTATGTTTTTCTATCAAAAACTTACATGAAATTAGTATTACTCTTTCTTGGAGAACCTCCTTACAGCAATCTCCAGGTGTTATTTTTATGATCAAAAAGATCTTGGCAAAAACTAAAAGTAACATAGATGTAAGAATCGTTACCAAATCTTTTTTTTCTCATAAGAAACTAGGAAAAGACTTCTGAATTTTCATCTGTGGAATGAGCATTCTCAAAGATGAATGTCATATTTGTAGCGCTTGCTCTCATGAGAGACGGAATTCCTTCGACACCGACGATTCATTTTCTTTTTCGTTCATTGTAGTAATTCCAAATATTCCAGTCAATGCCCGATGGAAACAGAATGGAGTGACTGTTGCTGGAGGCCATGGACAAGGCAGTGCCACCAATCAACTCTACTGGCCTTTGGGTCTCTTCGTTGATGATGATCAAACGATAGTCATCGCTGACTGCTTGAATCATCGTATCATCCAATGGAAGATGGGTGATACGAATGGACAAGTAGTAGCTGGTGGCAATGGCCAAGGAAATCGATTGGATCAATTGAATGAACCAACCGATGTATTAATCGACAAAGAGACGGATAGTCTCATTATTTGTGATTGGTTGAATCAACGAGTCGTTCGATGGTATCGTCGTAGTGGCACAACTCAAGGAGAAATCCTTATCGACAACATCTGGTGTCAGAGATTGACCATGGATGCCCAGAGATATGTCTACATCTCTGACCCCGGCAAACATGAAGTAAGGCGATATCAAATAGGAGACAAGAATGGAACTATCGTGGCTGGTGGAAATGGCCAAGGTGCTGGCCTCAATCAACTCAACGTTCCGACCTACATCTTTGTCGATCAACAACAGACTGTCTACGTGTCAGACTACTTCAATAATCGTGTAATGAAATGGAATAAAGGTGCAAAAGAAGGAATTGTTGTCGCTGGAGGTCAAGGCCAAGGGAATGCTCTGACACAATTGTGGAATCCTGAAGGACTGTTTGTCGATACATTGGGTACCATCTATGTAGCAGGTTTGGAAAATCTACTAGTGATGCGTTGGCCTAAAGGAGCGAAACAAGGCACTGTCATTGTGGGTGGAAATGATGTGGGAGCAGAAGCAAATCCGTTCAAAGGTCCTGAGGGTTTATCCTTCGATCGACATGGCAATCTCTATGTCGTCGATAGTCCTAATCATCGTGTTCAACGTTTTTCAATTGAATAGACTCGTCGTGATAGACTTTTTTTCTTCCCTTTCGTTTCAAATAAATCACATTGGATTAATGGAATGAATGGTTTATTCTATTCGCGCCGGCGACCAGGAACCATCCTGGTGGAGCCGTGGCGAGCGTAACGCTCATGCACGCACAGGACAGACTCATATCATTCATACCCCTCCCACTCGAGAGATATGTCAATGAGTCTGAATAAGCCTGGTCGTGTGCCACGGACACCAAGACGATTCCTGGTCGAGCTTTTAGGGACTACCCGGAAGTCCTTCATAAGAGACGAAACCCTAACCCTCAACGAACATAACTCACTCACTCTCTACTAACACTCACTTGTCTTAGTCTCACCCTAACCCCTCAATCTCACTACCTATTCTCATCTCAAAAACAAAAAATGACTTACCATGTCTGATGTTGATGACGCGATGATATTGATAGCTGAAAGGAACAGAAAAAAAAATTTAATCAATGTTATTTAATGAAATAGAATGAGATGACTTACCCTAATGTTATCTTTTTCTTCATTGTTTATTCCCTAAAATAAAAAATAAAATAATAAAAAGATCAAAGGAGGCCTTACCCCCACCATCCTTATGATTGTAAAAGAAAAAAAAAAGTAAAACTAATACCTACATTTTTTTTTATTGTATGGCTTGATCTTGATTTGAGTAATATTGTATCATTGAGGCCAATCTAAAACAGAAAAGAAAAATGATTATTATTTGATTCAAAAATTTGAATGATTTTACATAGAAAATCATTCGTATATATACCTTGAAAAATCATTTTTTTCTCTCGTCGAAAATGATATACATATTTAATTGTACATGTTGATCATTGATCGTCAATGATGACAACATGAACAATGATTTATGGACGAGAGAAAGACAAAAAAGAAAAAGAAAATTCCTCTGTTCACATATATTTCTTTTTTCTTTCCTTTCTCGCTTGTTAACATTAACATATATAATGATTTATTTATGAATTTTTTTAGATTGTATCTCATTTGGAATGAAAATGAAATTGTTTTGTTTATTTTTGTTAATAATAATCAATAACAACATTTATGTATAATTATTTTATTTATTATGATAAAATACAAAATATATTACATCACACGAACTATTACTTAAGTAGACATACTTAATGTTAAAAACTGTTGATTCAATTTCATAGACTGTCGAAAAAAACAAAACAATGGAAGTTTTTAAACACTTAAATTTTTACAATAATATTCTTTTTGGATGAACATATTTAAATATCAACAAAATTTTAGATCAAAATAATTTATTACAGAAGTTTGAAAAAATCTTTCTTTGTTAGGTGGATTTATTACAACAGAAAAGAATGAAACAAGATATATTCTTCTTTTGAATAAAAATTTATTTATATCGACATATCTATTCTATACACATCAACATCAACAATTTGTTATTCATGTACAAGTATGTATTAATCAATAAAGAAAAAAGATTAAAAAATGTATATAATAATGTTTTTAGTGGCTTGGAGAATTTTATGTTTAATGAATAATGTTGATAAATCCATGTGTACAATTAATTTAACTAATAATTAAACAACAACATCGTCAGATTTCTTCATTATTATTATTTTCACCATCAACATATGATTAATACTATACCATATTCGGAGACATTTTAATATTAATAAAAATGAGTATGTATTAGATGACAATATTGTTATAAAGAACAAAATATTAACATATATAATTAATATTTAATTGGAAAGGAATATAAGAGAAATCGAATGAAGATTAATATTAATTTTACAATGTGATTAAACATTATTCAGGTAAGATAATTATTCAATGAAATATATTTTACTAGTTAAAAAAAAAATTGTAGCGTCTATTGAGTTACTTGTGAAAATATTCTGTTGTTAATAGACTTGAACAATGTTATTATCGGAAAAGCTAGATTTACAAAAAAAAGTATATATATATATATGATAAAATGATCTAATCTCACAGGTTCGATATTTTTTCTAAGGCTTTACTGGTCATATACTTAAGAAAAAAACTATGTATACTTTTTCTATAAACATCATTTGATTGTTCGATACGATAGCAAAGTCCGAATACGAACTCGCTTCTCAGCAATTAAACAACAGTTTTCAAAAAGAATGCATAAATTTTTTTCTACTTGTTGTTTATCAGTCGAATAAAACCATTAGAAAAAAAATATATCGAGCCTAACGAGATTTGATGTTTTTGATGTATTTCAGTTTTCGTAGACTATAATGAAATTCTTCTCGTACTAAATTGTCGGACACTGTTCTTCATTTTCGAATGAACTATTTTTTTCTAATAGATTTTAGAAAACTTTATGCTAAAACAATGGATGTGATTCATACATTAGATTTAAAAAAAATGAATACTCGTTGTTATACTTATCATACGGTAATTTTATTTCGTTGCATAGATAATGTAAGAAAATAAAAACTATTTTCAAATAGATTCGTAAACATAAAACTCAATTAGGTAAACAATATTTTGTTGCATTATCATGATATGACCTATTCAACGTTTACTTAAATCTATATCAACAGCATATATTGATTATCAATTATTAATTAATTTAGTGGATTAATCGTATTGATAATTGTCGAGTAAGAAAACGATTTCGACAGTATTAAGTATATTGTTAAATTTTAGTCAGAATTTCTTGATGCATATCGTGATTATATAGAAAAATTTTAATTTATTGAACTTTCACAAGAATCAACAATAATACGAACACATTTAATTCGTTTATTCTTTTCTTCGATTGTCTTGAACATATGTGGAAAACATTCGGTATAAAAACATATTATACTTATTCAATTAAGGGATATTCAAAGTTTATTTGATATTAATCCATTATTATTAACAATTGATGATATTATTATGGATTGTTCTTGTTTTTGTTATTGTTTTTTTTTGTGGAACTCACATCTTTTTTTGAAGAAAAATAGAGTGATTGTAAGTTTTAAAGATATGTGAGACGAAAATTTGGAAGTTTGTCAGATTCGTATTCATAATATTCTCGTTAGAATTTATTTCACATTTTCTCAAGGCATCTTGTTGGTGATTATTTATGAATGTGGTCATTATAGACTTTCACTTTAATAGTAGCAACTATGAGAAAAACTGGTAGTTCCAACTGCAACTGAAAGTTATAGTTAAATATTCTACAACTTTAAGCGTATAAATAAAAAAAAATACTGAAGACGTTTTTAGATATGATAAGATTCAATTCTGGAATAGTTTTCTCTATACCAGTACCCACATCCTTTTCGAGAATCGCGAAGGAAACTCATCCAAAAGAAGTTAAGAGATTCAAAAATGAAAACATATGAAAATCATAGTAACTTTAAAAGGAAAATTGACTAAAATTCGATTTCTCTTGATCCCTCATAGTCTGGTAGAAATTTTTCATTTCAAGTATGTTGTAGGAGTATAATGAGACTAAAGAATACATGTAAGTTTTACATTATAATCTTCAATGAGTTGCATTGACACAATCTCTATTTTTTATTTAAATAAAAATTTTTCTAATTAAAGAAACTGAACAATTTGGAATACTTTGTTCAATTGATGGTCATATGTATATCTTCATCGTTATCATTGATTTCAACATCATGAAAATAATAAAACCGATGAATTTTATCAGCTAACTAAAGCAATTTTCGGTTGATCAATATTTAATTGATAAAGTAACTTAAAAAAAAACTGTAATATTCATTTTTTATTTTAGTCTTCACTTATTATATGTTTAAATTTTAGTGGTCTTCATAAAGCAAAGAAACGAGTAAGTGGAACTTTTTTTAATTTGGAATCTAATAAACATTTAACAAAAAAAAATTAATTGTTCAATTCATTTATTAGAACAGGAATGGTCGAATAGTTTCGATTCAAGTAAACAAATGAATGTATGATCAAAAGACAAGTAAGTATTTCAAATGAGAATTTTTCATAATTAAACTAAAAATATTCAGAAAATTTTGACTCATTTAACAACTGAAACGAATCGAAAATGCGTGTGCTCATAAAGTTCTGATCTACTAGTGAAACTCGTAGTGATATCTCATTTACTATCAAGTCAAAAGTTTCAAACACATTATTTATTCTTTCTTGTTGTCTATCTATTGATATTGATTACATTTTGAATAATTAATATTTTAAGTTTGTTTTATAAAAACTTATGAAATAGTTCAGTGACTGAATATTCTGATTGGTGTTTTTTTTCCGTTGTTTTGACTGTAGTGATATATTAAATCATGAGAAAAAATAAACTAAATAAGAATTATTGTTAGGTTTAATAAGCGTAGCTACAAGGAAAATAAAAGTGACTTCTACTGAATTACTTTTAAAGTAATTCAAAAACTAACTGTATTGAAGCTCAAATACAAATTTCATAGATGAACAATTCAATAATCATCTCTAAAGTTATCAAGATAACGTAGTATACAAAAGCTTTGACACTAATTATTCCTTTATGTAGTGGTGAATTAAGCTTGCATTAATTGATGTTTGCACTAAACAAAATCAAGATTTTCATCATTCATAACTTGTTTAAATTGATGATGTTTTTCTGCTATGTAAATATATAATTAGATAAGGAATTCTATAGAACTAACTTCATGCTATAAAGTTAGGTTTTGAGTTGAAAAAGAAAAAAATGAGCCAAATGAAATTTTTGTATCGATTTCAGTCTGATGTTGTTCCAAACATCTACTTCTATTATAAAAATTTTGAATTAGAAATAACTCATGAACACATAGTTTCGAAATTTATTGTTTTCCCTAATAAATATCCAAAACAGGAAGGAATATTTTATTATAACACTTTACAGTAGAAGTCATGCTGAAATAAATACCTGTATCAGAAAAATTAGTATAAAGTACCTGTGGGAATCTTTCGTTTTTCTTCAATGTCATTTGTATGCCAAATTTAGTATAATAGTTTTGGTGCAAGAAAGTACTTGGTACTTATCTCAACAAAAATCTTAGTATTCTTCGAGAAAAGAACTCCAAATGTTTTGATATTCTCGAAGAAAAGTGAAACTTTTTCCTCATTTCGAACAGTCGCAATCTGCAAAAGTAGGATATAATTAGATGTTCAATGTAATTCCTCAACAAAATTCATCATTGAATATTATTCAACACATCATCAAAATTTTTCTTACTTTTTAGTTTAGATATTAAAAAGATGAGATCAAGTTTTAAATAAAATCTTATCAAGAACTTTTTCCATCTATCGAAGAACAACCGTCAGATGAGAACATGAAAAGTTGCGTGACGACATATGGCTGTTCCGAATCTTCGTTCTCCATATATCGAAATTTTACTGAATATTTCAGCATAAAAATATATAGTTCCTCTCAGATCATCTAGAAAATAGAATTTCGACTTCAAACTTTGCACAAACAGAGTTCTTAATGAGATTCGTCAATATAGAAAATTTCGTATATTCGATATCTCAGAATAGAAAAAAAAAACTAGAAAATTTACAATTTGCCAAAAGAATTATTCACATGTTCATGCAAAATTTGATTTTGAAAGTCGATTTTTCACGTGACCTGAGTAGGACTACAGATTTCCGTTGAAAAACAATGAAGGCCCGAAAAGCAAAACTATTTTAAACTTTTCTGTTACTCATCAAATGAACACCGTCTCATTTGAAAAGCATATCGTTACTTCAGATTGAATTTTTGTTTGCTCTGTTTTGATTGATATGGTCTATTTTCCAAAAGAATTTAACAATATTTTTTTCAATTCCAAATTCATTCATCTATTTGTTTTCTTTAGGATTTGTTCATGAAAACTGTTCATCATTTGGATTCTTCGCTATTTATGCAATCCATTCAAGAACGTAAGTTCATTGAATATTACCTTTAGTTTTTTCCATTTGATTTCTATACTTTTACAATGAATGTATTAACTGATAAAGAAATCAGTATCTTGGTTTTTAGTCAAGACAGAAAATTTGATATGTTGTGGGAAAATGCTTGATGATGGATGTGTTGCTTTTGAAGATGGTCAAGATACTTTAGAAGCGGGTTTTATTCGTGCAATACAACATAGTAATTGTTCAAACATGGAGACAGTGATCTATGTGGAAAAGTTCATCATCCAGAAATGTCTTGCAGTAAATATCGATGTCGCCAATCAATCTTCATCAGTCAACATCATCTGTTCTGATTTTGTCTTCATTCGATTATCCGGTCAGATCGTACTAATTAGACCTATTAACTTGATCGAGAAGCTGTCGTACATACAACTGAGTACTAAAGATTTTATTATTATACGTTATCCCAATTTGTTAGGAAGCTCCTAGTAAATTCATTGATGACTATTTCTTCTCAAATCCCAACTTAGTTGTCATACACATATATATTAAATAAAGATTATTATATTCTTCAAACATCTTGGTTCTCTCCTTCAAGTATTCAAAAGAAATTCAGTCTAAAAGTCATACGATGTACAAATTGTAAAAACTATGTCATAAATTTGCACTTAACTCAGCAACAAAAAAAGTGTAGCATGTCTAATTTAAGAGTAACAAGACTAATGCAGTGATTTTAATTTTTCAAGAATAGACAATTTAACGGAATGAAAATGATGCAAAAGTAATGAAAGTACTGTTATTATAATTTCGCAAAAAAAATCAAGATTACCTGATAAAAATGATGAAAAATTTATAAAACTAATGCAATTAATTCAGTTTTTTTAAAATAAACAAATTAATGCAGTGGAAACGATGTAAAAGTAATGAAATTCATGTAATGATTTTAGTTTTTCAAGAACAGACAATTTAATGAAATAAAAATGATGCAAAAGTAATGAAAGTACTGTTATTATAATGCTTTTGTAGAAAATTAAGATTAGTTGATGAAAATGATGAAAAACAAATAAAAATTAATGCAATCGCTTCAATTTTTTAAGAATAGACAATTTGATGAAGTCAGAATGATGCAAAAGTAATGAAACTAATGCGGTGATTTTAAAGTTTCAAGAATACAGAATTTAATGGAGTAAAAATGATGCAAAAATAATGAAGGTACTGTTATTACGATAGTTTTGTAAAAAATCAAGATCGTGTGATGAAAATGATGCAAAAA